TTTGTGTGGATCATCTCTTTCGTTGACTAATAACTGTAAAATAGATTTCTTGCTGTTTCTTCCACGAGAATATTCACTCCACTGTTATATAATTGAAACAGTGTACCAGTTAGCTGTTTGAACTCTCAACTTTTGACTCCCGTGACTGACCTAAATTCAATCGTTGTCAGCTTGCTCTGTGTGTCGTGGACTCTTCTCAGACTTGACAAATACTCGGGCGTAATGACGTTCGATTCGAATGTTAAAATATATCATTGTTACTCAATGTTCTGTAATACATCGTTGTTCTGACACTTCTGACAATATTTGTAACGCATCGTCGTTACACCGCTTCTGACACCATTTGTAACACACTTCTACTCTGACATGGCGTGGGATGTTATTTCTTATGCTGTGGGTTATGTCAGTAGTATGGTTACTTATATTAACGCTTCAGGATGCCGACTCAGTCTTCTTCATTCTTTCACTTATTATTCAGGCACGTAAAGAAGAATACTCAATTCTAGTTAAAACTCACAGTACTTTATTGAACACACTTTATATTGATAATATTAATAAATAATCCTTGCATGAATGTAATTTCACATATATATCTATAGTATTCCATCATTAAGAAAGACACGTCCTCAGACTACTATAACTCAGCTCAACTGTCTAATCTCACAGCTCTCACGCTACTGACTGACTCTACTGCTCTGCGCTCAGCTCTCCTTATCTCAGTCAACTCATACTTTATTACCAGCAAAGCGTGCAAAACAACCGCTCTGACAAAAACATAATTTTACTCTCCAAAAACGTGGAGTTCACATTTGTTCTCAAAAATACAATCCACATTGATTGTCTCTCCCCGTGGAAAAACCTGGTGAACACACTCACTGTCCACTCATGCTACCTCTCTGTTTACATGTGAAAACATAGTCCGTTACACTAGGAAATCTTAGTTAGGTACTAGGAAAGCTTATTTAGGTAGGTACTAGGACAGCTTATTTAGGTACGACAGCTTATTTAGGTACTTGGACAGCTTTTAAGAACTTATTTAGGTACTAGGACAGCTTATTTAGAAACTAGCATCTCTTATTTGGGTACTAGGACAACTGATTTAGGTACTAGGAAAGCTTTTTTAGAAACAATGACAGCTTATTTAGGTACCAGGACATCTTATTTAGGTACTAGGACAGCTTATTTAACAGAAAAAATAACTTATTTATCGCACAGCGTTTGATTTTTGGGGGGGGGGTGGGGTGGAGATAGTACGGGAATAGGACAGCCTGACCATTTGATTTTCTTGTACCTCATGATATTGTCAAGTCTGGAAATTACTTACCATGGGCCTGTCTATATTAACAGTATCTATTGTAATAAGGGCTATGTGCACAGCCCCCCCCCCCCCCCCCCCCCCCCCCTCCCACCCCCCCCCCCCCCCCNCTGCCTATGTGCAGTTTTCCTCTGGGGTTTTGCTGGTGCACCCTTGACATGTCATTTGGCATTCTTTTTAAGTGTCCAGTCCGGAGTAGCCTACACTTTTTTTTTTACAATTTTATTTCTGCTACTCGTGTAATTCTAACAATAGACAAATGCCGTTATTTCCATTGCAGGCGACACATTTCAAAATGTTCCTTGCCACAGACCTCAGATCACATGTCCTCTTGCTGTCCCCTGTCCGGCCCTGTAGCAGCGTGAACGGAGCCCTCGAGGCCATGGCTCACGTGCCGGTGAAAATGGGGCCAAACTCAGACGGGGTTAACACGGGTGTCACGCTGTTTGTTAAGTGCGTCACACACAGTCACCTTCTGTCTGACCCTCTAATCATGTCATTATTGCACAGCGTTAATCAAACGATTTGCTGAAGAGTAAATATCACAAGTCCCAATGAACCGCGACCCTGTGGAGTCGTTGCATTGTACCTTATTTTGTTGATAGTTTTTGTTTGTTTGTTTTTTGTTGTTTTGTTGTTGTTGTTTTTTGTTGTTGTTTTTTTTTTTTTTGTCGTTTATTCTCCTCATTCAAAACAGCAAAGAAATGCGTAGGCTGTAAACTAGTGATTGAACAGCAGAGATCATTGGGTTTTCCCATAGTTTTTCTCAACTGAACCAAGCGGTTTCATGGCTTGAGTGTGTTGTTCTAGTTAGTGGCGTGATAACCATGGTACACTACCATCATCTTAGCCATCCGTCTCTCTCTCTCTCTCTCTCTCTCTCTCTCTCTCTCTCTCTCTCGCTCTCTCTCTCTCTCTATCTCTCTCTCTCTCTCTTCTCTAAAGAGTCCCTGATCCTTTAAAAAAATCCAAAACAATTGATTATTTAGGGAGAAGTGACATGAATTCGTTGACGTCATTAGACACCCAATTTGGACTATTTTGGCAGAACCCAGATTTCCTTTCCTTCGACCAGACCATAAATACTTCCTTTAAAAAAATAATAATTACCCGGCACGTTCTTTTTTTAATTTCAATTATTTTCATCTCCGGTTTATTCCGGCAACTATCCATTAACACTTAACATTATTTCTATAATGGGCTAGGATGAATTTTTATTTTTTTTCTTAACCCCCCCCCCCCTCGTGCCAATTTAGCTGAAGTTTGTTAATAAGGGTTTACCGCCTCCCAGATCACTGGTGTCCTTGATGGCTGGAAAATCCACGCCACTATATTATACTGCTGGAGCTGACCAGACGTGAAAAAGGCAGACGGCGTTATGAATGACGAAGAAAGGGACATGGAACAGACGGACCTTTTTAAATCCTTTATATTAACTCCTTTTTTGTGTGTGTGTGTGTTTGGCGCAAAATCTGGACCCTATTCCCGTCAATCTATCGAGCTGAAACTTGGCACGCAGATTCGTTACCGATGACAACAATTTCTTTCAAATTTTCAACCCCACCCCTAAAAACCCAGCCCCTAAAATCCTGTTTTTCAAGGGGAAGATGAAGGTAATATGAAGACGCTGATTTCACGAAATAAAATTCCTGATAACTGCGCAAAATGATATTTTTTTTTTTTTTAATATCGCAGATGCGTTCGGAGGGTAATACTTTCTTTTTGTTATTCTGAAATAGTTGGTGGAAACAATCCGCCGTGTAAAAAAAAGTCTTTAGATTAATATAATTCATAGACTTGAAAAAAATGTGTGTTTGTGAGACTCGGGGGGGGGGGGCAGTACTTAGGATTCCTATAAAGTACGTTTCTTGTATGCATGTTTTGTCAAATTTTTAGCCTTCCCCCCTCCCCCACATTGCTCGATATTACATTTTATGAAAGATTTACACCAACAAGTTTGGTTTTAGGGATTATTGATGTATTTTTCTTGAGCTTTGTGGGTTGATCCATTTAAAAAAATTATACTTTGAGATTAAAAATAAACTTTTAAAAAGAATTTGGTGATTTTTCTGGAGCAATTAAAGTACAAACAGCAAGTACGAAATTTAGAACTAAACATTCTGTACAAAGTACTATTAGGAAATAGATTTATTTAAAGATTTGAATGCTACTTCATTACAAAGAAGAGACACGGGTTCTTGTTGTTTTTTTTCGAAATAAACGTAAAAATACAAAGCCTTTGTTCTCTGTAATGTCAGATAGAACAGAGAGTGCAGACTAATTTGCATAATTGACGGTGTTTATGGCGTCCAACATTTAGCGTTCATTTTTTTAAATGTTCGTTCTCAATGCCGTTGATGTAGACTAATTGTTCCAGCCAGCACTATAAATACCTGACAGTTCCCACCGTTGGGTAGTACAAGGGTCCCTTGATATACAACTCCGTACAACCGGCAACTGTGCATAGAACCAGCCGACAAGATGATTAAAGGACTGTTGATATTGGCTGTTGTCGCCTGTGGTACGTATGCCTTTACATGTGTAGAATAACGTATGTTTTTTTTTTTATTTCTGTAGTAGTATTTTTGTCTTTACGTATGTTTTAAGAGTAGCATCATGTCAGTGGTTTTTAGGTCTATGTCTTTACGTCTTTGGTTATGGTCTTATGTCTTTGGTCACGGTCTTATGTCTTTACGTCTTTATTCATGGTTTTATGTCCTTACGTCTTTGGTTACGGTCTTTTGTCTTTACGTCTTTATTCACGCTCTTATGTCTTTACGTCTTTGGTTACGGTCTTATGTCTTTACGTATATGTGAAAGGCTATTCCTTGGATCGGTGGCATTAAAGACATTAAATAATTAGATATAAAGCCGTTTGTTTCTATATCTGACCCATGCTATCTTAACTTGTGTTGTGTGTATGTCTTCAAGTCTGTCACGTGCAGGCCTGCATTCTTACGCCTGTAGTGTTGTAGCCTGATGCTGGTTAACTGTATGTGTAAATCCATTGAGTTACATTTCCAGTTCTATATTTGATTTTGAAGTTTTTTCCAGATATTGTTAGAGCCCTGTGGTTATATATGAAATATTTATGCGTCTTAGGTTTGAGTTTATGCGCTTTCGAAATGTAGCATCTGAAAAAAGAAGATATAGTAGAAATTATTTTTAAAATAATTTGAAACAAAAACAAAACGAATAAATGTAGCTTAAAGCAACAAAATGGAAACCTTTTAAAACTGGTTTATTTCTAAAATTTATATTAATTGATATTTGTAAAAATAACAACATTTTTAAGGCTACTCTTGTAACCGATTTTTAGGGCTACCCTTGTAAATGATTCGTTTATTTTAAAACTAATTGTATCATTTGCTTTATAATTTGCCGGTAAGCATTTGTGTTGTTTATTACATCGGCATTACATCTTTGTTGTTCTTTGCAATAGCTTTAGATCGATGTTTTTCATTGGCCTTACTGATTTGTTGTTCATTACATTGGACTTACTTCTTTGTTGTTCATTACATTGGCCTTACTTCTTTGTTGCTCAATACATTGGCCTCATTACTAAGACCTGCTCTTAATTCAAAAGACAAACATATTTAATTTTTTTTTTTAAATTATGGGTGAATTCTTTTAAAAGTATGTTCATCTACCTGATTAAAATTTTCTTCTACCCCCCCCCCCAACAGCCGCCCTGCCAGACAACCTACTGGTGCCCTCAATCAGGGGAAGCCTTCGAATGTTTCGAATCAGATCCAAACGCCAAATTTTGCCTGAATAGTGGAAAAACATCTGTGGTCATCTGCTCCAAATGCAGGAAGAAGTACGAATTCTGCAGGTAAATACAAAAAAATAAATAAATAAATAAAACAAAAATAAATGACAATCATGCAATCAATTCACTTCTCCGTGGTTTTTTGCACATTTGTGTTACCGCTCAGGTTAGGATTTCCATTTTTTAAAAAGCCAGGTCTCGTACCACCTACAAAAGTAACAATGTAATGTACTACTTTTTAAGGGGTTTGGGGGGGGGGGGGGGAGGGTTTTGTAATTTTTTTTTAGATGAAAAAGGTAATAAAAAAAATAAGTAATATTTTTTTTTTTTTTTTTTTTTTTTTTTTACATTTTAATCAGTTCAGAATTAGTATGATTATTTTAATTATTTTTTAAAATATTTTCTACAAACAACGTTGGGAATAGCTACAATATACATCTGTGATAGTTATTAGACGCTTATTTTGCCTATGTGATTTTGAACAAGTCATTATTTCATAACTCATTTTTAAATGTTAGATCTTCAAATTTGTTCTAAAATCTTTTCTAGCACGTAAATGATTTTCTGAAGTTGTCTACCGTTCTAGTTACTTCCCCTTTTTTAAAGAAAATTATATCATTTTATTTAAGTTTAAACAAAAAAACATTCTGCCCTAATACTAGTTATACTATTGTGGGAATTATTGTCAGAAACGGCCTCAAAGTATCCAAGAGACCCGATTATGATTGTGGAGCTGGCTGGGAGAGCACCCCTTGCACTGGAGACAACAGTGCTGTCCCCGCTGTCTTCTAAATATGGAAGGTCAGTTTCGATAATGATAATAATAGAGTTAAATTCAACAACATAAAAAAAACCCCACCTATTACGGTTTTTGTAGTTTAATTTTTATTTCCAAGTCTTTAATCTTTATAGTTTAAAAAAAAAAAATCAACAACAACAACAACAACAACAAAAAAAAAAAAAAAAAAAAATAACAAAAAAAAAAAAAAAAAAAAAAACCCCACCTATTACGGTTTTTTTAGTTTAATTTTTATTTCCAAGTCTTTAATTTTTATAGTTTAAAAAAAAAAAATCAACAACAACAACAACAACAACAAAAAAAAAAAAAAAAAAGATCTACCAAGTTACAAAAAGATCAATCGTTATGGTAACCCTAAATATGATTTTATTTCGTAAAAGAAATCACGAATTTATTTTCCTATTTCTCTTAATAAAAGTTAACCTTCCGTTCATTTTGATTAAGAAAATAATTGGAGACATGAAATAAATTTGAAATGTTTTATTTTATCTGTATGTTTTTGATGACTTATAATATAAGGACTCAACGGTTTGCCTTGTAGATACATATCAAAGCTAACCAAGTTTTTATTCTGTTACAGGTCAGATTTGATGGCGTCACGTTGATCCACGTGAAAAGGATGTTCAGGGTGTTTTGATAGATAAATGACTAGATGTGATGACATGCTATCTATTCTTGAATCGAGAATTTCTGATGAAAATTAAAATTACCAAAAAAGGAAGAGAGAAAAAAAAAGTTGTGTTTGTTAATAAACATGTGATGTCTTGTCCCAAATCTGTTGCTTTTGTTGTTTTTGTCCTTTGAAACGAAAAATGTTGAGTAATCAAAAAGGTAATAAAGTATATTTTAAAAAAAAAATACTAGTATTACACACTACTCCGTAACTTCTACACTCTTACGGTTATAAATATCTACTATCTAATCTCTAGCCTCTAATCTACAAAAACGGTTCTGAAAATTAACGACGTTATTTTATTTTATGGTTAAATATGGCCAAAAATATGTTGGCATTACAAGCTGTAAATATTTTAAAAAACTATAACTATAAAAATTTTTAAGTAGTAACGGCAATGATAATAAAGTTATGCAGAAAGCCTTTTTATGTATTTTTAAAGTAACATAAATATTGATCATGCCAAATAAACTAGTATGAGTGTGATTGGAATATTTTTATAACCTTGTGATAAAGAATTACCTTAGTTGAATTATGGCTAGTTGCGATTTGAGGAACATGTGTATTTAGTAAATACCGCTACCATCCTTGGGCGCCCGCAGTATGGGTAAGGTGGGTCACATGACCCCGCCACGCCTTCCGCCACAAAAGACCAGGGCTGCGAAGGAAACGATGGGCGCAGGTTACGTACTTAGTACAAGAGATGACGGAGTCGTTAACCTGACGTCGGCAGAGTTTATGGTAGTTCTGAGAAGACATGAGACAGGGAGACAGACACCCGGTAGACAGTGTGGGACGGGCATCCTGAACGAGCTCGAGTAATGAATTTGTAGTTAGATTGACAGAGTAATGCGGTGTCTCGGGTCCATCGTGACATTAATATCAGCATTAACGCTTTTTGTGTGCGTGGGGTGGTGGGGGCATGGGTTTCCGCAGGGGTTGAGCAAGGGGTTGGGGGGGGGGGGGGAATGCCTTTCGACAACAACTCCGTAAAACAAACACAAATGACGTCATTGCACACAATAGCTATTCGCGGGTTGGGACACAAAATGTTAGTATTTTGACAAAATGTTATAAAAAATCTCTTGCGGGCGTCAACGTAAAATTAATATCAGCATTAACGCTTTTTGTGTGCGTGGGGTGGTGGGGGCATGGGTTTCCGCAGGGGTTGAGCAAGGGGTTGGGGGGGGGGGGTGAATGCCTTTCGACAACAACTCCGTAAAACAAACACAAATGACGTCATTGCACACAATAGCTATTCGCGAGTTGGGACACAAAATGTTAGTATTTTGACAAAATGTTATAAAAAATCTCTTGCGGGCGTCAACGTAACGTGTGAATACCATTTGGTGTCCGTATCTACTGCTTGACATAGCTTTACCGGTGAAACTTCTAAATCAACTTTTGAAGAACAAAAATATCAATCTATTTTCTGAAGACTCCTGCACTTCTCGTTAAATAATTTGCCCCCATCGTGTTTAATTGAATGAAGTAATTCGCTCGAAATCGATCTCTTGAACTTGGGGAAAGCTGTCCCTCTGCATCAGGTGCGACTCCATCACTGGCTTGTTCTCGGCTCACTCTCTGTCTTGACACGTTAAGCTTAAATTCTACACCAGACAATCTAGATTTAGGTTCATAATATAGGCATGTTTTTTACAAGTAACACTCATTATTTCTATTTAAATATAATAGCCGTACGACTCTAAATGCAGGCTTCGATCGAACGTGAGTTGGCGGCGAGTGATGTGAGCAAGTCATGTGACTAATCTCGCAGGTTCATGCTAAATCTAATTTAGTAGTGTGCAGAGTGGAGAGTTTTGAGTTAACTATTTGAAAGCCATTGAATAATGCACAAAAATAAAATGGTAATAACAACACGTTATGTTTAAAGAAATAATAGCGATGAAAAAAAAAGAACTTAGGAGTGGCAACACTGGAAATGACAGTTTACTTTACAGAGGAGTTATGAATCAAGAAGACCAGGCCCATCTCCGACAAGATCTGGCAGCACTAGAGAATTGACGCGTAATCGGCAGATGGAACTCAATCCGAGCAAATGGTTAGTCCTCAACAACCGATCTAGAAAGAAGAAGGAACCACTACTGTCCAGTTATCATCTCCGTGGACACAAACTCTAAACAACACCCGAAAGAAAATGCCTGTGATTAACATTAACTGACAACCTCACATGGAGCAAACATATTCATAACATATCTGCAAAAGGAAACAGCTCCATTGGTTTTTTTGCGGAGGAATTTCAGGGAATGTACACCCAAAGTGAAAGCGGCAACCTACAACATCATGGTCCGTCCCACACTTGAATATGCATCAACTTTAGGGGATTCGCAAGAATAACATGACGAAATCTCCTAGAGACTGTGCAGAGAAGATCTGTATGGAAAATCTGCAAACACTATAGAGACGGACAGAGAGAGTGTGGCACTGTCACACGCATGCTCAACAACTTATGTTGGGCCAGCCTAGAAGAAAGAAGGCGAATCAACAGACTAGGGCTGTTGTACACAATCAATAACAGCATGACTGAGATCAACAAAGCTGAATTGTTCAAACCCTCGGATGAAAGAACAAGAGGAACAAGGATTCATCAAGAGCAAGATTTCCCAACCTGCCCTGTTCCATCTGGACAATCTCTTCGTGGAACTATCTCCCCCCTTGCCACCACTCCCCCTTCCCTCGCGTCGTTCAAGTCACGACTCTATGGCAGCAGACCCCTGCAGTCACTTTCCCCTCCCCCTCCCAACCCCTAACAAGAACCCTTCACAAGCCCTCAATGTCTTGCAAATAGTTTGAACTTTTTAACTCCACAACTTAGCCAAGCTTACCCCACCCTCCTCCCTTCAGCCCCCTCAACATCCCTCACGGGGCCCTCACCCCAAGCTTTGGCTTTTTATCCTTCATACACGACTGGCACACACCGCATTAAATGGGCCTACAGTATGGACATCTCGATGGCACGTGCAACACTTGAGCCCGGTCCCTACGGGAAGAAGAAGAAAACAGTTAATTGGTTAGTATTGAGATTCACCTTAGATATAGTATCATAGTTATATATACAGGTTGACAAACGGCCCTTATTAGTTAAAATTATATTATATTAAGCTACATAACGCTTCTTGTTAATGAAATTATAGACGGTTAGCTTGCACATTTTAAATGTTAAGACACAACATTGTGAAAAAATAGGTTAAAGGAAAAAAAAAGAGCAAAAGAAAACTGTAGTAAAAGATACTTAAAAGGATTTTCCGAGGCCCTGGCAGACTTTGAGGCCTTTAGCTGTAGCTTATTTAGATTAGGCCTTATACACAGATCTGGAACTGAAAAAATAGATCATCCTTGAATTTAAATTAGATTATTGATTTTAATTATGTAAAACTTTTGTTTGTGCAAAAACTTGTGTTTTCTATTTTTAAAACATTCTGTCAATCGTATTGTTATTTTTCATTTAAAACATATTGTGGAATAAATAAGTAAAATTATAGGCTAATTCAAGTGTGCACCTTGCTTTAGTAATTAAATCTGTTTTAATATTTCATTCACTGGTTTGTAAAGTTTCCCTTTCATATGAAATATAGACTGATGTCTTAAACATAATTATTTTTAAACTATTTTCGCTGTAGAAATTAAATTCCATATTAATAGCCTACATTGAAATATATTTTTTAAAATCCTTTTTTAAGATGGCTTATCTCTTTGAATATCAAAATGTCTGACAATCGTGAAAGTAAATTGGCATCAAATTTATTATGTTGCGGTTTGCGGTTGTCTTAAACGTTTTGGATAAATATATTTCCTTTTCACTTGGTAGTAATGTATTTATACAGGTTGATAATATTCAAATTATAATAAGATACGAATAGCCACATCTGTAATTTTAACTATCAGAACCAAAGCAAATAATCGAGAAAAAAATCTCTCTTTATAACTGAAAAAAAAAAATTAAATAGATTATCACTTAACTTTATTTTGCAAATAATGCCCATAATTACCAGTTTAATGAAAGTGTTTAAATAACTATTGATTATCATATCCTTAAAATGCATGCAAATGCTATTTTCGATGTTTAAAATTAAGACGTATTTAATAAATGAGGTAAAAATATTAAATGAATTGGTTGCTTTACAAGAAAATGATTTAACATTTTAAATAAGAAAAATTAAAATTATTTAAACTTTTATTTTTTTAAAGGAAGAAATAATATTCAACCGGAAACATAAATAAATTCAATAATATGTTTTTTTGAAGGTCCTGGCAATGTTAATAGTCACACGACTACAACTTCCGGTAGTCTTGTGAGAGGAGATAGCAGAATCCGAACCTAGAATTCAGCTGGCACTCTTTAAATTTTGTTTAACAATTTCTTTTTCACAAGCGGTATAAACATGGCTGGAATGAGTGATACAGAAGTCCAAGGACAGGTAAAGCTTTTTTTTTTACAGTTTACTTTTTATTAATACCAGTCATTCAGTACAAATTATAAATACAAGTGAAGTCAAGGATCCTCCAAAAAAACCAGCCTCCGCTACCGGTATTTTATCTAACTTAAAAGGATCATGAGTGTAACATCAACGTCATTGACTCTTTCTTGATTAATAAATATTTTCAAATATAATTCTATGTCTATCACCTTACTCAAGTATTTCTCTTGTCTTGCAGATCAAACATATGATAGCCTTCATTGAACAAGAAGCATCAGAGAAAGTTGAGGAAATAGATGCCAAGGTCAGTCACAAATTATGTTATCAATGAGTGTTCTGTACACCTCAGTAAATATAAATTTATAGGAAATAATACAGACTTCAATATACACTTTTAAAGCCAGGTTCTGTTTGGATTTTAGTGGACAAATAATTGTGTTTGGGCTAACGTAAAAACACACTCACTGTACTACTTACTACTACTACCTACCCAAACATGTTAATTAATTACAAGGGACGTAGTCTACTTCAGTAGTTAAATAAGAGTATAAAGTATAATCCAAATTTACCAAAACCTGTAATAATTAAAGATTCATTTAACAGACTGTCAAAAATTTTGTTTCATGCGTTGCTGTTATCATATATTATGTCATATAAGGCCTAATGTTCATGGTTGATGAATCTAGCCAATCTAGTGGTTTTAAAATCAATATCAGATAATCATAACAATTATTTATAAAATATAGATGTTTAAATATTTTCTTCTGTTATCTTTTTTTTTTTAAATAAAGGCTGAAGAGGAGTTCAACTTAGAGAAAGGTCGTTTGGTCCAAAGTGCCAGGGCTAAAGTTATGGACTATTATGACAAAAAGATAAAGCAAGTTGAGCTTCAAAAGAAAATGTAAGTTCAAGGAGTAAAAATATTTAGCTTTATGTTGGTGGTCCTTTTCAAAGTTATCTTGGTGAAAAGCTATTACTGGTGTCTACTAAACAAAATGCACTAGTGTAGTAACATACTTTTGTGTTTTTCAGCCAGCAGTCCAATCTTTTAAACACATCACGTCTTCAAATCCTCAAAAGAAAGGAAGAGTTACTTAATGTAAGTGCACTAAAAAAGTTGCTAGAGACAGTATTTAATGTAAGTTTATTGCTATGGCTATGACTCAATATAATGATGAAAGATTATTTGCTTGTTGTGCTTAGGACTGAAATGTACAATGAATAATTTGTGTCTTTTTCAATCATAAAGGACCTGCTTGATGAGGCCAGAAGATCAGCCCATAAGACTGTTAATGAAGATCCAGCTAGGTACAGAGAAACAATGATAACACTCACTCTTCAGGTATATTGGTGTCATTGTTAGCATTGCTATAATCATTCACTTAGTACACTGTCCTGATATAAAGGAAACCTTTTCATAAAGATGAAATCTAATGGTAAATATTTTTTTTTTTTTTTAAATTACAAAACTTGTTTTATTTCTTAATTAATGTTAAATGTTATTTAAACTATAGTTTCTGTTTGAAATGACCACCAGTAGCTTCAACTCAGGCGTCGAGACACACTCTCCATTGACCAAACATTATTGAAAGGGTTCCCCCATTTTTTCCCAGATCCAGTGTATTTAGCATTACCATGTCAATTTATCATTCACAAAGCATTGCTATGTAAATTTTCCATTCAAAAAGTAAAGATCATTGGATTACATTATGAAATATGAGTCATTTTATTTGTTGCCAAGTGAAACCATCATTGACCTATCAAATTATGTATCCCATAATGCAGGGCCTTGCCCAGCTTTTGGAGCCAAAGATCACTGTACAAGTTAGGCAACAAGATGCTGAGTTGATGAAAGTAAGTGCCTTTGATTATTGAATAAGAAAGGAAGTTGTGTTAAATATAATAAAATTTTCTTAACTATTTAACCCATTAACTGTGGTTGGCCGATGTTCTCTTCCTATTCTGTGTCGGCAGATTAAATTGGCAGTTTAAAATTGTGTTGAAAGAACAACTTCCAGTCCGATATTTTACACTAAATAAAACGACTTAATAAATTAACTTCCGTTTTTCGCTTTTCTGTGTCCGTTTTTTAAACATACGAGTTATTTTTACAACAATCTTTATCTAACAAATTTGTGTAAGTAGATTTTCGCAAAATGGATGAGGCCATAGCTGGACCATCTGGCTTACAAAAGAATCAGTAATCTTTTGGATAACTTTTTAGTTAATGGCTTAAGTGATTCGGGAGATGATTTTCCGATCACACGCGAAGTCAATAATTCCGATTATTTTTCTAGTGGGTCAGAAAGTGAAAGTTTGGACGATTTAGACCTAGGCATAGAAGGAGTAGGCGTTGCCGCCGCAACAACAGCACTCAACTTGAACATGTCACTAACCAAGACCTTAAGAAGAGAAAACGTATTAACCAAAAAAATAATTGGATGTTGCTCTGTATATGTTTCCTTATATTTCATTTTATGAATTAAATATTAATTATCTGCTTTTTAAATTTTGTCTGTTTCTTGCTATTTAGTAATTTTTATAATTTCATGCTTATTACTTGAACATAATTATAGGTGTCAGAGGAAACTTTAAAAAAAAGAAACTTTAAAAAAAAAATTAACTAAAACAAATACAAATAATTCATTTTCTGAAAGATGAATAAAATTTCTATCATATTATATCAGCATTTTAATAATATGCCTTAAAAAAATTGTAGTTTGAGGTACTTGAAAAGAAAATTTTTCATTATTTTCTTTATTCTTGGCCACTCCAATGTCATGGTTAGAGTATAAAATAGAATTAACAAAATAGCCAATATGATTTCCGACTCAGTCTAATTTTAAAAAATTTATACTTAATGGGGAATAGTATTTTTTTCACCTTTTTCAAAGACAAATAAAAGCTCTAAATTGCCTGCACAGTATAGAATAACAAGCACAGTTGGTGGGTTAAGATATAACTCTTTTAAAAGTCATAACTCATGTTATCCAGTTTATATCTTTTGAATTTGATTTTTCTAGCAAATAGTCCCAGAAGTCCAACAAAAGTATAAGAAAGTAACCCATGACAAATATGAAGTGAAGCTGACAGTAGATGATCTGAACTTCTTGCCATCTGAACTGTAAGTTGTGGACTGGAAATTTATGCAGACTTTTAAAGTTGTTTATATTATTCTCATCACCTCCAAAGAGATTTCATTTAAATGTTAGTGTTAGCTTTTTTTTTTTTTTTTAATAGTACTTTTAAAAAAAATCTTTATAAATATAACCTAGTCAATTTACAATTTTCTTCTAGGATAGCTATAGTTGCAACACATTCACTTTAATTGTTGCTTGTCTAAGTTGAATAGTTAGCACTGTTCCCTCCATCTCTAACTTTCGTAATGTTGACAAAGTTACTTTATTATTTGTTAAATGTCAAAACCCGGTCATAATTTATTGTTCACATCACTAACTGAGTACATTGCTTGAACATATATTTTGTGACAAGCTGTTAAGAATAACTCACTTCAACAAAAAAAAACTTGTCTGTTAACAAGAAACTGGGAGAACCACAAATGGTATTTTCATTGGCACATACAATTATTAAAAAATTATTTTATTTTTTGCTGTTGTTATAAAATAAAATAATATATATATTTTATTTGAAATAGCATTGGTGGAGTTGTTTTGTCTGCCCATGGAGACAAGATCAGAATCAACAACACATTAAATGAAAGATTAAAACTGATTTCAAGACAGGTGAGTACTTAAGTTAGGTCTTGCCATTTAGATTTTGACTGCCTCAATATTGTAAGCTTACTTATTGCGGCCTTGGGTTAACTGTTTGTTTAAAAAATGCAATAGTGCAATATTCTGTGCAGCTCATAGTTTCATCTGGTTTGCATTATTCTTCTATTCCTAGATGCAACCAGAGGTACGTGAAACACTCTTTGGACCAAATCCCAACCGCAAATTCAAGGATTAACTCAACCGCTTGATTAGACCAAACCATTTGTAGTATCAACCCACGATTAGACTTTTGATGTAATATCAGTGAACATCTAGAATATTGATGACATTTCTCATTTAAACCAGAGTGTACATTTTATTTTGTGCTGCCATGAAGGGACACACCTTTGTTTTTACTTAAATACACAAATATATATATGTTTTAAGACATTCTGTAACAATTAAATAAAAGATTGAATCTGTACTGGCTCATTTGAACATTCCATTACACATGGAGACTGTAAGGTAGCTCTTAGACATTTGTTTTCCTGACATGATGATACATCAAACTCCTGCTGTATAGTTAGTTTTTCCACATCTCAACACTTATTTGCAGGATGAATAGAATTGTAGTTATTTATTGACTTGACTGAGTTTAGTCAGATATATTTGAGGATGTGCCTGGAGACTTTAGACAGTCATTTTCTTTGCCTGAAATGATTTAATCACTGCTAAATTTGTCCATTATGCCATTTTTATTTTCTTTATGAATTGATGCTGCTTAAATGAATAATTGGTTTTATTTGTGTTCTTTGACTGTACCCATGTTGTAAGTGTTGAGTAATCAGACACTGTTGTATGTGTAGACTTGTAATCACATATTACCCTAACTACGCTAGACTTCCATATCAAAGCACTAAACTTGTATCCTCCCCTGTAAACCTGTGGTGTACCTGGTGGAGTTGTCTCCACTCAAACCCCACCTCATCATTCATGGCTGTGATTCTTTGAAAAGGACAAACATATAATCATTGTATACTTCAGTGTTGTCTACCTGTAGGCATTATCGAACCCTGCAGCCAATATTCATGATAAGGTGCTGTTTAAAATATATTTTTGTCAAAAGTTGTTTTTTCTTAAATTCCCCCCATGCCTATTTCGAATATGGAAGTGCATAAAGAAATTTTACATTTTATTTTGTTTCATTGATATTGTTTTTGCTAAAAACCAGTTTCTTCAAACATATGATGAAAGGCACACATGTATGACTTTTGGCACCCAGGTCAAGATATATAAAATCCTAGTAAAAAATAATTGGTTCTTTCTTTGCAATAATGTATCACCACTTTAGGTAATTGTAATAAAGCATTATCTTTTGAAAACATTGAAATTTACAGTCAACTGAGTGTGTTGCCCCTCTTGGCAGATTTCAAAATATCTGGTAGCTTCCTGCAGCTGTAGCTGGTCGAATGCAACTACTTAAAGAAACACATTAGATATGTGAGCTTTTTTACTAACCATGACAGTGTGTGGATTAAGGGCAGATTTTGTTGTTCTATACTACATGGGAATGTTATTTGTATGATGTTTATGGTTTACTATTTACTTATCTCATATTTTCATTATTCCCAATCAATTTTCTTATTTAAGCTCTCATAGTTTGTGAATGCTATTTGTTTCTAATCTAACTGGTTGTTAGTGCTGGTGTTCAGTGATCTGTATGAACTAGGTATGTTTTAAAGAGTTGATTCATGTCTGATGAATTGGTTTATACAATTGTTTTAGTCAAACATTTTTTTTTCTTTAACTTCATTAAATTAAGACTGCATGAACTTTGAATGGTGACTGTAATCTGTGTAGCCCATGTTGTCACTAGTATCAAAGGGATGCTGAAGTCTATGTACACAAGAGATGTATAGATATAGATTTTTATGTTCCTCTAATGTCATTAACTGAAAATAAAAAAAAAAAATCAATACTGTATCCAACTTATCCTTTCTTTTTTTTTTTTTTTTTAGAATATGAGCAAACATCTAAAAAAAAAATACAGAGAACTTAAAATATTAAATTTTAGATTATGCTAAACACAAAAGTAACCACAGCATTAATCAACTTAACAACATATTTATTGGCTGCATTAACAATCATGAAATGGAAATTTTCAATACAAAATGCATTAGTAGTGGGTCTATGAAAAATTCTCATTACTTTGAGCCATGGCTCCAAATCTGGCCTGATGTTCACAGCCCTAGGGGTGGGAGGTGGCATTTCTGTGGTCTTGGGAAAAGTGATTATAAGTTGTGTCTTTCAAGTAATGATATACATCTTTATAAACTAAAAATATTTTTTCATTAATATTTCAAAAAAATGTAATATGATAATTCATTGCTCGAAGTTAGGTTTTTCAAAACCAACGATTACAGGAAGTTTATGTATTAATACTATGAAAATAAGATTTTAACAGACAAAAATATTTAGGAAAAATGTAAAATTTAAGAAATACAGGGAAATTGAGGATCACTTGTAAGAGAGACTTTAATTAATTCTATATGGTGATATTGTGCAGAAAAGTTGATTTACCATATTTTCATGCATATATTTTCATTTTCCTGTTAAAATATTGGGTTTGTGCTGTATAGCAGCTTATAAGGCGACCCCCTGCATATAAGACGACCCCCGACTTTTGAAAAGATTTTCATGGGTTAAAAAGTCGTGTTTTACCCTGGAAATTACGGTTATTTGTTTACCTTTCTAACTCACAAGTGAGTGTTAGTGCAGGAAATCAGTGTCATGCTGGAAACATCTGATGTCCCTTTGTGTTGATCTCAGTTCAAATGGGATGAGACTGGGGACAGTTTGCCCAGTTCAATGTGGTGGGTTAGTGTGGGTTTTGTTCGATCTTCATTTTTGTTTGGACAAGGGTTGGAAGCATCATTCCGTGTGATAGTGCGGATACAATTGAGTTAAGAGTAGTTTTGGTCTAAGATCTGGATTGGAAGAAGTCCATCATTGCATTAACCCTATCTAAAAGTCTTCATTGAACTAGCAGAGGTGATATCGTCTGAGAAGTAGGAAGAAAGGTCTAGTCTTCGAAGTCCATCATTTCATTAGCCCTATCTAAAAGTCTTCATTGAACTGGCAGAGGTGACATAGTCTGAGAAGTAGGAAGAAAGGTCTAGAGTCTTAGCGTGATTTGGGGGTGGGAGGATGAGTACAATAGGTAGCTACGGGTGTCCGTGGGTTTGTTGTAGGCACATATGTTTAATCCATTTTTCTTTTAATATCAGGGTAATATCCAGAAAGTTCACTATATTTCCAGAGATTTGGCAATTAAATTTTAAGGTAATCTTGGTTTTGAAAAACCCAACTTCCAACAATGACATTAATGGTGACCACTTGAATTTTTAAACTACTTTCTATTTCTTGTTATTTTTTTTTTCATTTAACCTGTCTGCTGAGGAAGGTTCTTAGACTGAAACGTTCTTCTTTTCATGCCCCAACTTCCTGTTTCAAGCTTCCATATACCTTGTTCTTCTAATAAGTTCTACAGAGCTGTTTGTATTTTTTTTTTAAATTAAAAAAATAGTAGTACATTTTTGTTTAAATTTTATAATACATAACTTTGATGGGGTGCTGATAGAGTTAGTTAAACTGAGCATAGAAATATAGCAAGGGTTGAGAAACTTTGCTGTAAACTTAATATTTGCATTCAACAGACACAGGCACGATGTGCTATATAATCAATCATCTCGTATGTAAGCCAAGATTAATGGTCTGGCGCACAACATTGCAACACTGAAAGAACATTTTTAGTTTCAACTTCAACAGGAGAATGCATCATTCGGGTATAAATGACTTTATTATGAGAAATCCATGGAAACAAGAGTGGGGAAATCTTCCATTTCTTCTTTGAGTTTCTCACTAGGAAGTCTTTGGTCAGAATGAGCTGAAGAAATGGTCTCTTTGCGCCCCGTGGGTTGTTCCTGTTTGGGTAAACCTGTCTTTCTGCGTCCATTAGGTTGTTCTTGCTTGGGTAAAGATCTCCCTTTCTGCGCTACGCTTGACCGTTTGGTGCTGGAGGTGACGTTTTTGATCTGCATCATTTTCCTTGGTTCGGGCTTGACGTACACTCGTTTAACTGGTTGCGGTTTATTTCGGTCACAGTCACTTCTGCTTATTTGCTTAGGAAGAAACATTTTTGTTGTTAGCTTGGATGAGAGAGCTTGAATCTCGTTATTGGTGGCGCCGTATGTCTTTCCACCATCTGTGTCCGGCTGGGAGATGGTCTCACCTGCATTATTGAGCAACAACCCTCTGGTCAGATCAGTTCTGTCTGCAGAGTTGTCTGGTTCTCCATGGTTAGTAAAGGAAAGTTCACTCATGCTGGTGACAATTTGAGGTAAGAAAAAGTGCATATGAGTTCTCTGACCATCTTCTTTCTCCACCTCAACAGCTGGTAATGTGGTAACAACTCCAATATTATCTAACTGATCATCCTGTTCAATTTGTTCATGAAGATTTTCATCCTCTTGAATTATAGTTCCCTTATCATTACTTGTTTCTTCCATATCATTGGCAAACGCAACCACTGGCCTGCTGTTTCCTTGAGGCAGAATCTGGTTTTGATGTGTAACTTTCGCATGTGTGCGGTCGTCTTGAATTTTATTTAAACTCAACACTTCCAGGGCAGGCTTTTTGTGTCCAGATTTTCGTTTGAATCTTTGAAAGTTGTTTCCGCTTCTGGAAGAAACGCTCCCAGTGGATTCGCTATCATCTGTACTGTTGAAACTTTGGGTACACCTCTGCAGCACCCCCCGACCAGGTTCCGGGGAGTCCGTGTAGTAAAATTTATCGGACGGCTTGGACTTCCTAGGCACCTGGTTGAGCTCCGACTCACGAAGACGTTCTGACGCGCACACCAGAATCTTGAACGTGGGGGATGTACTACGCGGGTGGTAGCCGTGTTTGGATGGGGTCAGTGTTTTCATCGCATGTTTGTCTCCCATTGATTTGATCGACGTCATGTCCGATAACTTTGTGGTGGGCATTTGAGTGGCCATGTTAAGAGTGTCATCAGCGGACCACTGTGACGATGGAAGCAATGAGGCATACCAATTATTTTGCGTGGAAGACTTACCATCTTTAGCGGGATGCTCATGCGACTGCTCAATGTGAATACCTCGAAGGACAATCCTACCAGCTGTTCCATCAGATGGTGCTACCCTAGTGTTTTTTAAACGGTCAGAACAAGACTGCGCAGTGAATGTATTGGCACGGTAAAGGCCAGTGAGTTTGGCGTTCGTTGGAAGGAACCTGCGAGGAAGATACAACCTCGTGCCTAATGGGCTACAACTCCAAGGAGATGACCCACGAGCCGGATTACTTCCCCTGTCTTTATGGGATAAGTGACGTATGTGATCCCCACCTCTGCCAGACGTCGCCTCATGTACTGACCTGATGGCAAAGGGCGGAGTTGACTGGAGAAGTAAAGAGATATTATCCGCGGCAACAACAAAAGAATTATTGACATACAATTTGTCGTTCAACTTGGTCTTTACCGAATTTCTGCAACTGTAATTTGCAGTTTTCCCACTTTCTTTTACGTTCTTGGTCTGTCTGAGGTTTTCGCTGGTGTCTGAATCATACTCTCCGATCCCGTTTTCAAGCTGAGTTTTTGAAAAAATTCTAGTCGCCTGTGGGGCGCCATCACAGCGACCGTGCCTGAGTATGTCGACCCTCAGACCATTCAGAGCAGATGTTTTATCAGGGGTAGACGATTGGGTGGTGAAACACGGTTCCCAACGAAAGTAGCGATATTCCTGAGGTTTTAACTGTCTTTTCAAGTGGAGGTCATCAATGGACAATCTGGAGATTTAAAAAAAAATGTTTTAATGGTCTGAAAAGACATACAGTACATAGTTTTTGATGAGATACTATGTAAATTATATTAATTATGGCATATAATTGTAATAAGGACTGACGCTAAATTGTAGTCTTACAGTGCTGATAAGGTATAATATATATATAAATATACACACACACAAGAAAAGATGTATAAGTGTAGCATGTAAGTATTTTATTACCTGTAGTTTCGGTATAGTATACACGTTGATAAATGTTGTGATAAGTTGGCTTAACTTTGAGTCATAAAATGACACAGAGTCGTATGGAGAAGCTATGTTGGAGCTAACGCTGCGCCAGGTCATCCATTTAAAGCAACTACGAAAATTGCCATTAAAGGTGCGGTTTTTAAAAATTCGTATGAATTTGCCTAGATCATTAGAGCCGTATTTTTCACGTCTTTTAACTGGGATCACCACCTAAACATGTAGTTATGCAATCGTATATGTCACAACGACATTGTTTGCATTTTCATACTCGTTATAAAATAATGCCACATATTAACAACTGAGTTAGATAGTTCTATTGCAAGAGATCTGTACTGGCGATAGGAGTCGAGCCCTCTTTTAGAAGTTCGGGGTCGGTTCGGCAACAACCTGGAATGTAAGACCGTCTTTAGGCCAACGTGACGTTATAATGACTCGCACACACCGTCTAAGTAAGTTATTGAAAATGTGCGCATCGCCACTACAGAGCTACAGAGCACATCATTTTGATCGACTTTGCAACCATGCACACCACTTTACGCGCTATTTATATACACGCTACGTTATGGTTTATCATGCGATCAAGCACACAGCTTTGTGCAGTGTTTCTATGTTACACGCCACGTTGACAGCTAGACTACTCATGTATTCTAAGCTCTACAAAAAAAAAAAAAACAAAAAAAACACAAACCCGCGAGATGGGCGGCCAATTAGAGAAAA